TGGCCAGGATTAGGGAGGACATGGCCAACGATGGGCAAATGGTAGAAGCCCTTAAATGAGGAGTCCCTTCCTCGTACCTCACAATGATCTCTGCAATGGGCATCAAACTACTAATGCCCATTGGATACGACGAATGGAAGGACAGGATCATTGAGATGTACAAGGAACAACAAAGGCAGAAAGCGGAGGCAACGATGCTGCAGGAATACTCCAAGAAGCCGACCCTGCTAACCCCGAACAAGACAGGGAAAACTGCTGGGAAATCACCGGGACCCTCGATGACCCCCACCTACAGTAGCCAGAAAACTGGGACTGGGACCACATATACCAGAACAGAGAAACCAATGGACATAGATCACATGAAGAAGGAGGGCAAATGCTTTAACTGCAGACAAAAAAGGCATATGGCCAAGGATTGTCTGAAAAAGAAGCAGACCCAAGAAGACATACGTGCCCAAATCGCCGAACTACAGAAAGAGGAAGAAGAACTTGGGAAGAAGACAAAGGTCGAGGAGGTAAAAGATGGAGCCAATCAGTGAGTGACTCTACTGGATCGGCCAAAGGACTTCATGGTGTGCAAACCCCAGCCATTGATCGGACTTATGATACTTCTGTAGTTATGCCTATGCCATTAAATATGCATTCGAATATACCCACAGTTGATGCACAACCTAATGAGTCACAAAGAAAAGCTCAAATGCCTACAGGCTGAACAAGGGCAGAGAGCCCCTCGAAATGGCTCAAACCATTCGACACTGAATGGTCCTGGAGAGCCATTAAGGAAGCAGTGGACAAGAACACTGCTAAAGCCACACTATGGGGATGGGTGCACAAGACCAGGATGGAAGAAGCCACAGAGGAGGTAGTAAAAGCATTGGCAAACACTGAGCGAAGCAGGGCCCTCGAATGGTTGGACGAGCTAAGGGGGCCTCAGAAATTCATCAGACACACCAAAACCCCGGGATGGGACTTGATGACCAAAGCACAAATCAAGACCCTGACCAATAGGGTGAAACATTCAGTAACCGCCCTGATTGACAGCAGGTGTACAGGCAGCTCGATCAATTGAAGCTTCATACTCCAAAATAAACTTCCCACTTGATCCACAGCCACTCCGATACCCATATATAACGCCGATGGAACAAAAAACCAAGCCGGATCAATTACAGAGTTTGTCGAACTCCAATTGACCATTGGGGATCACTCCGAGCAGATTGATCTCGCTGTGACAGACCTCGGATCCAAAGAGCTATTCTTGGAACATGATTGGCTCATTCAGCATAATCCACTTATCAATTGGAAGACTGGGTGACTTATCTTCACTCGATGCCAATGTCGAAAAATTCTATTCGAATTGCCTGACGAAGATCTGGAGGATAGATGGGATGAAGAAATAGAGGACAGAGAAATCATCCTGGCCATTGACCTGCAAAAAGAAATTCATATTCGGGCAGTACACCACGCCAATAACCTGGTGGCCAAAGCCAATGAGGGGAAGGAGGCAAGGATGTTTGAAGAAATAGTACCAGAATGGGCACAGGACTATAAGGACCTCTTCAAAAAAGAAAGCTTCGATGAGCTCCCCTGTCCAAAACCTTGGGATCATGCCATTGAGCTAATCCCCAATGCCAGTGCCAACCTAGACTGTAAAACTTACCCCCTCAACATTCAAGAGCAACAGGAACTTGACAAGTTCCTCGATGAAAATTTGTCCAGCAGACGCATCCGACCCTCCAAATCCCTGATGGCATCACCATTCTTTTTCGTAAAGAAGAAGGACAGCAAACTCTGACCTGTCCAGGACTATTGCAAGTTAAACGAGATGACCATCAAAAACTGGTACCTGCTACCTTTGATCTCGGAGCTTATGGACAAACTCTGTGGAGCTAAATATTACATGAAGCTTGATGTTCATTGGGGGTATAACAACGTCAGGATCAAAGAAGGAGACGAGTGGAAGGCAGCTTTTTGGACTAACCGGGGACAGTTTGAGCCAATGGTCATGTTCTTTGGCTTAACTAATTCCCTGGCCACCTTTCAATGGATGATGAATGACATATTCAAAGACCTCATCGCCACTGGAAAGGTCATGATCTACCTAGATGACATCCTCATCATGTCCAGGATGAAGAGGGAGCACCATGACCTGGTTCAACAAGTACTCGCTCTCATGAGAAAACATAAACTATTTCTCAAAGCAGAAAAATGCGAGTTCGAGGTATTGGAAATGGAATACCTTGGAGTGATCATTAGTGAGGAGAGCATCAGGATGGACCCGATCAAGGTGGCAGGGGTAATGGAGTGGCCGACACCAGTAAAAAAGAAGGAACTGCAGTCCTTCCTCAAGTTCACAAATTTTTACTGAAGGTTTATTCAGGACTACAGCAAAATCATCCATCCCATGACTCAGCTCACCAGTAATGCTCCCTGGGGATGGGGAAAACCCCAGCAACTTGCCTTTGATGACCTAAAAAGGTGATTGGCCGAGGATGTAGTCTTAGCCATACCATCTCAAGAAGGAAAATTTTGCATTGAGGCAGATTCAAGTGATGGGGCCATAGGCGCCATACTATCACAAGAGCAAGATGGGAGATGGCACCCAGTTGCCTTTCTCTCCAAAGCATTGACCGTGACAGAAAGGAACTATGAAATCTACGATAAGGAACTACTGGCAATAATGATCGCCTTGGAAGAATGGTGACATTACCTGATCGGTGCCCCCGAGACCTTCAAGATCTGGACAGACCACCAGAATCTCAGATACTTCCGACAGCTGCAAAAACTAAATTGCCAGCAGGCCAGATGGGTCACCGAACTCGCTCAGTATCAATACACTCTCCACCACAAGGCCGGAGTGGCAAACAAAAAGGTCAACCTCCTATCCTGTCGAGCTGACCACAACCAAGGAGGGGATGACAACACGGGAATCATAATGCTCAGGCCCAAACACTTTCAAGCCCTAATCATGCCAACGGAGGAAGAGATCCAGGAGCGGATCAAGAGCGTAACCCGAGATCCCCATAAATGGGATCAAAGGATTGCCCCCTCACTAAATCATAAACGAGAAATGACAAAGGAGGAGGGAATGATCTGGTACAATGGTAGAATTTACATCCCATGTGACCAAAATCTACATGGGGAAATCATCACCATGTGCCACAACCATGCCACTGCGGGACATCCGGGAATTGCCAACACCAAGGAACTTGTACTACAAAACTACTGGTGGCCAAAACTCAGCAACAACGTCACCTCCTACATTCAAGCCTGCAAAACATGCCAGAGGGGAAAATCTTCCACACAATCGTGGGCAGCCCCTCTACACCCAAACGAAATACTGACATGTCCCTGGACTCATATTATGGTAGACATGATCACTGGGCTACCAGACTGCAACAGCTATGACGCCATCCTAGTCATAGTAGACCGATTCTCTAAAACAATTATCCTAATTGCATGCTCCATGGAACTAACCTCGGAAGGGTGGGCCAAAATTCTATGTGATGAAGTATATGCCAAGTATGAGATGCCTCAAGTAGTCATCTCAGATCAGGGACCTCAGTTCATCTCGAAGTTCCTCGATGACCTCTATAAACTCCTCCATATCAAATGAAACGTGTCAACAGCTTATCACCCTCAAACCGATGGCCAGACCAAACATGCAAATCAGGAGGTCGAAAAATATCTCCGACTTTTCATTAACTACCACCAAGATGACTGGATCGAATGGCTTGCACTGGCCACCTTTCAACATAACAATCGGGTTCATTCAGCCACTGGCCAAACCTCATTCTTCATCAATCATGGGCATCACCCACACGTAGCCTAGACATCTTCCTACAAAAAGACGACAACACCCGCTTCCACAGACTTTGCCATGATAATGACAAAAATCCACAATGAAACCAGAATCACCCTTGAAAAGGCTGCCTCTGCAATGAAAAAACAGTATGACAAATATCATCACCTAGTGCATACATATAATATTAACGATAAAGTATGGCTGGATACGACAAATCTCCACCTGCCCCGACCAAAATGTAAGCTTGCTGACAAACAGACTGGCCCCTTCCCCATCATCAGCAAAATAGGGGAAAGTGCTTACAAGCTATGTCTACCAGTAGGATGGAAGGTCCATGATGTCTTTAATGAGGCACTTCTCTCCCCATACATTGCTCCAGCCTTCCCTAACCAACAATGCCCCCCACCGCCACTGCCTGACCTGATCAATGACGAGAAACACTATGAAATTGATCAAGTCCTAAACTATAAACTATGAAAAGTAAAAGCCTGCGGGGGGGGAATGACAATGACGGTAGATTACCTCATCAGCTGGAAAGGATATGGCCTGGAATCCAACCAGTAGATCAATGAAAAATACATGGCAGCCAACAAGACCATACATGACTATGAATTATCCCTTAATTAATGCCATTGGGATGATGGTCTTAAGGAGGGGGTAATGTTATGATTTTTCCCTTTTCATCGCCTTTTCACCCCTATCTATGCTTAATCAGGAGGCACAAGACCATGGGAGAGCTTGGTCAGCACAACTAACTCATCCATCAGTCTACCCGACAATCAAGCCTAACGACGCACAAGCAACCCTTTTATGTGTAACAACGATGCTCAAGGACAACGGGCACCATGGACACAGGAATACACAATAAGTAGTGATATAATTAGGAACCCTTATACAGTATTTAAGAACAATGCTCTTGCTGGTAAACCCCAGCTTTGAGCTAAAGTTTATACACACCATTCCAACTTGAGTCAACAACTGACCTTGTATCACTACCAGCAGATATACATTTAGTGAACTCAGGTGATTCCTCAAAGTGCAAAGGAACACCTGTTTATCACATGTATCTGTTCACATGATGCTTGGGCCTAACACCCACCCCTGGGCTGGCCCTGGTGAGAGAACAGAGGCTGTGAGACTGGCTGCAAGGAGTTGGGGCATTGGATCTTTGAGCCATCTGAGAGGCATTGAGAGAGTCTCAGGTATGGTTGGCAATCCCATGGATATGAGAGGCAGAAGAGGGGGAGGGGGACTTCCAGAAGAAATCCTCCAGGAGGTCCTCATCCTTGTGGTTGGGGACAGCATTGGATATAAGGATTCCATGTCGTCTTGGAATGCTAAGGTCCCAGTTTCTGGGTTGAGAGGAGCACTGTTCTCTCTCTTCTTCTTGACCATTCTCCTGATGTGAGCCACTAGGCCTGGCTTCTGGGGGCTGGTAGGTCATTTGTCAGGATTCTGGGATGTTATGAAGTGGGAGGTCAGGAGTTACATTGTGTAGTATTCATTAGATTTGTCAAAACTCATGGTAATATCAGATGGCTCAGGTGGTAATAGAATGGTGTCTCTGGCACAGCTGGATGATCACCAATAGACTGATCAATGTTCCAATGATGGAGGCAAGGAGTTCAAAGAACTCATGGTCAAAATTCAGATTGTTGTTGTCAGAAGGAGGCATTCAGTTTCTCAGCACAATTGGGCTTGAGAAAGGGAAGAAGGAAGCTTTGAGCTAATTGTTAGGCCCAAGCATCACATGAACTGATACACATGATAAACAGATATCCCTTCACACTTTGAGGGATCAGCTGAGTTCACTGTTGTGTATCTATATTGTTGTGTCACAAGGTCAAAGGATAGACTCAAGGTAGAATGGTGATTATAAACTTTAGCTCGAAGCTGGGTTGTACCAGTGAGAGTGAGCTCCTTTAAATACTGTACATGAGTTGCTAATTTTACTACATACTTATTGTATATTCCTCTGTCCTTTATGCTCTTTGTGCTGGAGCATCATTATGGTATATAAAAGGTCAATTGTGCATTGTCAGGCAACATCAAGTGACAATGGTGAGTTGGCTAGTTGTGCTGACTAAGCCCTGTCCCATGGTCTCAAGCACTTATCTTTGACACCCTGACTAAGCATAAATAGGGGTTGATAAGGTAAAGAAAGGAGGAAAAATCATAACAGGCAGAGGCTGTCAGAGCATGTAGGGTCAGAGAATTGTGCTTATTTGATATTGATCTGGAGTTTGTTGATATCTATGATGGCACTAGCCTGTAGAGTAGGGTCTTCAAGGTAGGTTGTGCAGAGTGATGCAGAAAGTCATTCTTGAGTGAATATGGGTTAGAAATTGTGAGGGTTGACTTGGGCATATTGGCTATCCCTCTCTTTAGAGTAGATGTCCCATCATCTAGTGAGTGCATCCAGTTTCCCTCCCAGTTTCCCAGGGCAGAACCAGATTACTAGATTGAACTGAGATAGGTATTCAGACCAGCAGACCTGTTAGCAGGTTAGAATCTTGGTGGTGACAAAGTATTCAAGGTTCTTGTGCTCTGTTATGACATCAATAGAGTCCATGGAGGCTTCAAGGTAGTGCCACCAATGTTTGAAGGCCTCAAAAATGGCTAGAAGCTCTTTATCATAGATGTTATAGTTGAGTTTGGCATTGTGGAGGCTCTGAGAGCAGAAAGTGATAGAGTGAATTTCATCATCTTCAAGATAGATAGAGAGGATAGCTGCAATTGTATAATTGGAGATGTTGGTTTCCACCACTATCTTTTGATTGGAGACCCAGTGGATAAGGATAGAGGCATGTGTAAAGGCCTGTTTCAACTCATTAAAGGTGGCCAAGCATTTGTCATCAAATTTCCATGGAGTTCTCTTATAGATAAGTCATGTAAGAGAAAGAATGATATTGCTATATTCATGTATGAAGCAACAGTAGAAGTTGGTGAAGCCAAAAAAAGATTAGATGTCTTTGACCTTTCATGGCATTGGCCAGTCAACAATGGCCTGGACTTTTTCTTCAGACATGTGAAGTCCTTCAGGTGATAGGATGTAGCCTAAGTATTCTATGGAATCCCAGTTGAATTTCATTTGAAACCTTTGCAGTAGAGTCCATTAGCTCTAAGCCTGCATAGGACCTCTTGAACATGTTTCTGGTAATCTCCCAGATTGTCAGAATATATAAGGATGTCATCAAAGTAGACTACTACTGATATGTCAAGCATGTCAGAAAATATATTGTTCACAAATCATTGGAATGCCACCAGAGCATTTGTGAGGCCAAAAGGCATGATATGCTATTTGAAGGAACCATAATAGGTTTGGAAGGCTGTTTTCCATTCATCCTCTTTGGCTATGTGAATGAGATGGTAGACATGTTGTAGGTTGAGCTTAGTGTAGATACATGTGAAGCAGTGACATGCCCTCTCCTTGTTCAGGCATGTAAAATTGTGAAAATTGCAAATATATGGACTGCATTCCAGTCCAGTAAGCATGTAACAGAAAATAGGACTAGAGTGCACAGAAACCTAGCTATCATAATGCTAAACTGAAGTAACAATGAGCAGAGTGCATGGCCTAGTAACAGACTAATACCAGAGGGGTTAGGCTGCATGTGAGGTCCCAGCACTTGGCCCTAAATGTGCCAATACTATTATGAGAGAACATGCTAAAAATAAAAAGACTATGATTGAAATATGATCAGCAATTCTGATCACATTGATCAAAGATGCACAGCCATTGATGCACTGATGAGACATGCCTTAGAACAGAGAACTGAGACCCAAAGAAAGGTATCTGAATAACTGAGTGTGGAACAGAGAAATGATATAATAGCAACAAAGGAATAGATAGAGAAATACTACCCTCAGAGATGAATAGCACATGTACTGCTCAGAGACTTGCATACTTACAGTGCCTTAGTGCACTTAACACAGTGAGGGACTCCATATCATACTGAGACATGGCACCTTTGGTGATCAGATAGAATGACTGGCTGGACACAGAGAAGCAGAACATAGCCATTGTGGCTGACTCCTGGCATGAGAGATAACCCCAGGGGTCTGGAACAGTTTATCACTGTCAGAGATGTCACTGGGGAAATAAGAAAGTGAGCAGACCTGACAAGGCCAGCTAGCCAATGTCAGCTAGTGAAGGAACAGCAGGCACAGTCCTTGCTCAGAAGAGAATAAGCATGGTGACTGCAATATGCACACAAATAATACTCACAGGATCCAGTATGGATTCCCATGCTTTGAAGATACCATAGTAGAGTATTTAAATATGGCATTGTATGAGTAGAAGAGAAGTTTCTGACCTCCACAGTTGCAGTGTATTGGGCACAGAAAGCCTTGCACTCTAGCTCTGGGTTTGTGTTAGTAACTTTGGGTGAGAGAATAAACTTATTATTGAATATCCTTGAGAGAGCTGTGAGAACTAAGCGAGGCATCAAAGCTTGCAAAGGACTTGAGCCCAGTTTGATAAGAGGTTTTGGATTGCACTCTAATCTGAGAATAAGAGAGTGGTGTCTGAAGGGCATCATCATGAGCTTTTGAGGTATTTGTGATGCATGGTGCTACAGGTGGCAGAGATTCAAACCCTTTGGCTTGATTAGTGTGCGCTTTTGGGTTATTTCTGCAGATTGGCAGAGGTTCAAACCCTTTGGTCTGTCAGACAGTGTTTTATTGTGTTTTGTATCTCTGGATTGCATAGGTTTGAATCCTGTGGGTCTACAATCAGTTTGGAAACTTGTGAACAGAGATCTGTGCTTTTTATCACTTGTGGATGTGTTTGTGATTGGTTTTTGCTTAGAGCATAAAGCTTTGAGTTGTGTATTGTGCATGTTAAGGACTTTGAGTTGATCTAAGCTGTGCTTGGGACTTTTTGGAGAGTTTTGTGAGAGTGTTTTGACATATTGTATTGAGCTGCAGTACCCTTTGCCTTGAGGCCCAGCAACACCAGTTGCCACCTCTTGTTTTGATAAGACAAAAAGCTTTGAGACCTAGAGAGACCTCAGACTGTTGTAAGTGTGCTATTACTGTTCACACACTGTGATCTCATTGAAGAAGACAATTATAATTGTTGATTACTATCTTTATCACATTATAATCTCCCCATGAACTAAGAGTTTTGTGTGTGTGTTGGTGTGAGTGTGGTCAGTAGATAGCACTCTGCTGTATCTGTTTTCACCTTGCACACACTCAGATCCTCTTCACCATAGCCTCTGCACCCATATCAAGGATGACATGGCACACCATAGGAAGCCAAACAACCTTTATGATATACACTTCCTTGCCTAAGAACTTGATGCTTGCTACTGGACCTGGTGAAAAGAATCTGAGTGTGTGCAAGGTGAAAACAGATACAGCAGAGTGCTATCTACTGACCACACTCACACCAACACACACACAAAACTCTTAGTTCATGGGGAGATTATAATGTGATAAAGATAGTAATCAACAATTATAATTGTCTTCTTCAATGAGATCACAGTGTGTGAACAGTAATAGCACACTTACAACAGTCTGAGGTCTCTCTAGGTCTCAAAGCTTTTTGTCTTATCAAAACAAGAGGTGGCAACTGGTGTTGCTGGGCCTCAAGGCAAAGGGTACTGCAGCTCAATACAATATGTCAAAACACTCTCACAAAACTCTCCAAAAAGTCCCAAGCACAGCTTAGATCAACTCAAAGTCCTTAACATGCACAATACACAACTCAAAGCTTTATGCTCTAAGCAAAAACCAATCACAAACACATCCACAAGTGATAAAAAGCACAGATCTCTGTTCACAAGTTTCCAAACTGATTGTAGACCCACAGGATTCAAACCTATGCAATCCAGAGATACAAAACACAATAAAACACTGTCTGACAGACCAAAGGGTTTGAACCTCTGCCAATCTGCAGAAATAACCCAAAAGCGCACACTAATCAAGCCAAAGGGTTTGAATCTCTGCCACCTGTAGCACCATGCATCACAAATACCTCAAAAGCTCATGATGATGCCCTTCAGACACCACTCTCTTATTCTCAGATTAGAGTGCAATCCAAAACCTCTTATCAAACTGGGCTCAAGTCCTTTGCAAGCTTTGATGCCTCGCTTAGTTCTCACAGCTCTCTCAAGGATATTCAATAATAAGTTTATTCTCTCACCCAAAGTTACTAACACAAACCCAGAGCTAGAGTGCAAGGCTTTCTGTGCCCAATACACTGCAACTGTGGAGGTCAGAAACTTCTCTTCTACTCATACAATGCCATATTTAAATACTCTACTATGGTATCTTCAAAGCATGGGAATCCATACTGGATCCTGTGAGTATTATTTGTGTGCATATTGCAGTCACCATGCTTATTCTCTTCTGAGCAAGGACTGTGCCTGCTGTTCCTTCACTAGCTGACATTGGCTAGCTGGCCTTGTCAGGTCTGCTCACTTTCTTATTTCCCCAGTGACATCTCTGACAGTGATAAACTGTTCCAGACCCCTGGGGTTATCTCTCATGCCAGGAGTCAGCCACAATGGCTATGT